AGAGCTTTGAAAACTCCAGCCACAAATCACACAAACAGTAGTGACACAGTTAACAAGAAAAATGCTTACTTATTCCATGATAATAGAAATAGTGATGTGGCACAATTGTCTGTTAAACTAAAAAAAGTGTTTTTAATGTTCCAGTTGTGCTTTTTTTTTCTTTAACCACAAGAGATCCCCAAATCCTCAGTCATGTTTGATACAAGCAGGACATTTTATGTGCATATCAGATTGTTGCAACACTTTGCTATTATTTTCATGACTCTTTATTAACCAATATTCTTAATATAAGAGGGCTAGTAAACTTTTTTTTTTTTTTAATTTTTTTTTTCAACGTTTATTTATTTTTGGGACAGAGAGAGACAGAGCATGAACGGGAGAGGGGCAGAGAGAGAGGGAGACACAGAATCAGAAACAGGCTCCAGGCTCTGAGCCATCAGCCCAGAGCCCGACGCGGGGCTCGAACTCACGGACCGCGAGATGGTGACCTGGCTGAAGTCGGACGCTTAACCGACTGCGCCACCCAGGCGCCCCGGTCTAGTAAACTTTTATTCTTTAGAACTAGCTTTTTAAAAATGTACTTTTAATCCCATCTGTATACAGAAAATACCAGCATCTAAGGATGTGAGAGGGATGCAAAGACTAGGAAAATGAGTTATATAAAGGGGCAGCGAAATAGAATTGCTTTAAAGTTAAGTAAAAACACAGGCGACTTTGTGTGTTGAGAACAAACAAGACCATTCCTTTCCTTCTACCTTAGGTGTAAATTCCCCATCTTGTGCAGTCAGTGTTAATTTATCAAGATAAAATTATATTTAAACATGATTTTTTCAGTAGGGGTAAAAAAGTGGAAGGTAATTTAGATACAATGACTTGGCAGGACATGAATAAGACAATTTTTTGTCATTCACAGTTAGATTATATGCTACAAATCATATTATTACTTTGACTTTAAATAAACATAAATATCCCTGGGTCTGCCCCTGCACTAATTTAAGTATTCATTCATTGAATGACTGGTCCATGTAGCAGAAAGTCAGGCTCCCTACCGTTAGGAGGTTACAGTCACTTCAAGGAGATAATTTAATAGACCATTATTATCCAATGCAGTGTGTTCAACCTAACTTCCTTTGGTTTAATACCTTGATTTAGTTCAATAAAAATATGAGTGTGTATTATAGACAACAGTACTATATTAGAAACTCCAAAATTGCTAAGAGACTGGATCTTAATTGTTCCCACCACAAAAAAGAAAAGATAGTTATGTGACATGATAGAGGTACTAGCAAACGCTAAGGTAGTAATCATATTGCAATATAGAAATACAGAAGATCAACACATTGTACATCTTAAACTTACACAATGCTTATATGTCAGCCAGATTGCAATAAAAATAAAATTTAAAGAAGATGGATGTGTATTGTGTAGTTATATCTCCTGTTCCTTTAACGATTTGAGGTTACGGGAATAACTATATATTCCCCAACAGCAGCCAGTGATTGTTTATAATAATAGCGACCCATAGTCTACTATTGGGCAACTGTTTGTACAGGACTTACCTTTTTTAGTTCACCTTAATCTGTCTTGTGAACAAAATGAGGACACCCATATTATTGCCACAGAGTGTCATTTTCTCCAACTAAAGTATTATGTTTGGACTCTTTTGGATTAACTCTAAAGAAAACTAATAAAACTAATTTAGGCAAGAATTTTCAAATACGGTATTTAAATGTACGTGCTTTATTTTGTTATTCATTTGGAAATGGAATAGTTTTGTAGCAGTAATTCATATTTTGATCACCAGATGGCACTGAGCACATATAGCTAAGGAAAAAATAGCCTTTTTTCTTAGCTGTCGTTTCTTTCTTTCTTTTTTCTTAATGTTTATTTATTTTTGAGAGAGAGAGAGTGAACAGAGGAGGGGCAGAGAGAGAGGGGGACACAGAATCCGAAGCTCCAGGCTTGGAGCTGTCAGCTCAGAGCCTGATGCGGGGCTCAAACCCACAAACTAGGATATCATGAACTGAGCTGAAGTCTGCCACTTAACCGACTGAGCCACCCAGGAGCCCCTCAGCTGTCGTTTCTGAATATAGATGCTTAAGTATGTAAATGTTTTCAGCATTATATACACATACCTTTTGTTTTCCATCCCGTAATAGTTCTATTGCTATAGAAGCTTTGTTTTTCTGGGAAATTCTGAGAGAGACACTGCCTCTGTCCTTTACTTCGATAATCATTCACAAACAAATTCTTAGCTATTTCATTTTATTAATTTTCTCTGCCTTAAATTAGCCCTTTCTTACTACTACCTTCTCTTCTCTGTAGACTTTTATTTAAGGGTCATTACATAGTTTGTACAATATTAAGAGATCAGAGAGATTTACATAGTGTTCCTGTACGGCAAAACACAAGAAGAGTGTGAACTTTGTTTTTGTTCTGGGTCTCTTTATGTCTGTATATTATTCTCATATTGTAACATGGGAGGGGGTGGGGGTTGTTATTTTTTGGTCTGGTTGTGATTAATTCTTGCAGTATATCATTTTCTGAGTAGAGGGACTGTAGGCTACAAATAAGAGATATACTTGATATTTAAGCTGTTAAATTGAGTCATGTGACCGGAAGTCCCCAGTTTGGCTGGTACCTTCAGCAATGGTTAGTTCATTCAGTGTCTTAATCAGAGACCTGATGATGTCATCAGGAACCCAGGTTCCTTTCAGATTTCCACTTGACCATCCTGGTTATGTCAGACGTGAGCTTTGTGTTGAGGAGAGCTGCTGCCCTTCTAGGTGGAATGTGCAAGCCTAGCAAAGCACAGAGTAGAAGAGGGGACGTATACTCGTATGTAGATGTCTTCTCGGTGGTATATTCAAGATTCCAGAGAATCTCAGAGTTCTCAGGTCCCAGTGGCCAGGCACGGGTCTCCAGCACTTCCTAAACAATTCACTGCACTGCAGGCGGAAGGAATCACCAAGACAGGTTCAACTGGTAGAGACCCATGACCTCCCTGAGCACCCAGCCCCTCAGAAGAGGGTGCAGCCTCATAGAAAAGCAGTGTCTCCAGCCAAGGAGAAGCGGTGGGATTTGGGCAGGCAGACAACAGTGTTTGCTACCATTTCTGGTCTTTGTTTCATTTTGGCTTTTTGCTTAGTGACTCTTCTTCCTCCTGCTATTCTTGAAATAATAACTTTGATTATCTGTTATTTTAAGTGCGTGAGACTGTACAGAATTAAAGGTATAGCCCACATCTGTGGCAGAGTTTATCATTCATTACAAGCTCTTTCTCCTGTGGTTTTGTTTATGCTTGTGTCCTTTGCTTAGTAGTTAAAGAAGTTGGGTTCTCTTTTTCTGCTTATTAATGCTACTCCTCATAGAACAATGTCTCTGAAGTACTTTATGAATCTAGTAGCATTTCAGGCAAACCTACAAGTGTCTGCTAAGTATGCACCACTCTCAAGGCACCCTGACAAGCATTGAGGGTGGGTCTGACCAGAACTTCTGGAGATACTGGCACCATCTGTCCCAGAGCTCAGACTGACCCCTTGGACTCTCTAAAGACTCAAAGGGTCAGTGCCTGCTGGCCCTGCTCAGTGATTAAAGTCCTTTTGCTGTCAGTTGCAGTGCCTTCTGACCTTTTCTAGCTGGTTTTTCCATTTGACATCTCAGCACCTCTCACAGGCTGTACTAGACTGGCTTTCTAGTCTGAATTCCATCTGCAACACAATTGTGACTCTGAAGAACCCAGCTCCCCTCTCACAGGCTTCATGCCAAAGATGCCTTTCTGGGGCATTATCTGAATACTTATTTGTCGTTTGTATTCAGCAAATATCTGTTGAATGATTGAAAGAATATTTATTAATTGACATTCCAAATGCAGTAAGGTTTTTTCCGGACTCAAAACTGCCGATTAGGCGCGCCTGGGTGGCTCAGTGGGTTAAATGTCCTACTTCGGCTCAGGTCATGTTCTCATGATTCGTGAGTTCAAGCCCCACATCGGGCTCTCTGCTGTCAGTGCAGAGTCTGTTTCAGATCCTCTGTTCCCCTCTCTCTCTGCTCCTCCCCCATTTGCTCACTTGCACCCACATGAGAATGTTTTCTCTTTCTCTCTCAAAAGTAAACATTTTTTCAAGAAATTAAAAAACCCTGCTGATTATATTCTTTTTTATGTTATCTATTTTTTTAAGTTTTTATTTATTTTGAGAGAGAGTGTACAAGTGGGGGAGGGGCAGAGAGAGGGAGGGAAAGAGAGGATCCCAAGCAAGTTCCATGCTGTCAGCTCAGAGCCTGACTCGGGGCTCAATCTTGAGAACTATGAGGTCATGACCTGAGGTGAAATCAACAGTCAGTCACTTAACCCGTTGAGCCACCCAGGCACCTCTGTTATCTATTTCAACAGTTTATCAGTCCTTATCAAATATCCAACATTCTCAGTTGACATTTTCATTCGTCATGTCCTTAAGTAAAGAATAGGAAATATTCTCTTTTTTTTTTGTAATGTTTATTTATTTTTGAGAGAGAGATTGAGCATGAGCAGGAGAGGGGTAGAGAGAGAGGGAGACACAGAAACCAAAGCAGGTTCCAGGCTCCCAGCTGTCAGCACAGAGCCGGATGCAGGGCTCAAACTCACAAACCGCAAGATCATGACCTGAGCTGAAGTCGGATGCTTAACCAACTGAGCCACCCAGACTCCCCAGAACAGGAAGTATTCTTAAGAAGCAGTTAGCAATGGCATCATTGCTATGTTTGAACCAAGTTTTTCTCTTTTTATCTATAGCTTTGAGAGAGATGAACTTGTTTGAAGAATATACAGAGTCAAACAGTTTTTTTTAGAAGTGAATCTGTCTCTGTCTCCTGGACTTTTGGAGTTCAAAGTCCTTTGGCTTCAACACTGCTTTGTTGGAGAGACAAGGGAACTTCAGATCCCCCTACTTCTCCGCCACGTTGGCCCCTCCTCTCAAACAATTTTTTTAAAGAAAAATCTCTTTGACATTTTTATTTTTCAGAAAACTGTGGAATATATTTTCCAGAAATAAAGAGAGATCCAGGCAGATATTTACACACTTGTCCTGAATCTGTGAAAAAGTGGCTTCGACAGCTAAAGAATGCTGGGAAAATTCTGTTGTTAATTACAAGTTCTCACAGTGATTACTGTCGACTTCTCTGTGAATATATTCTTGGGTAAGTAATGAGTCATTCCATTTTCATGGTCTTCTACAATACTGGATAACAAATTAGGCTAGTGCTGTTTTAAAAGTACTTGACCGTGACCGTATCCTTATATTAGACAATGCTGAGAGACATGTAGTTGTTTCTCGTAACATCCCTCAACATCTGTCGACAGCAACACCATCCAGGTACAGTTTAGCAAAGCAGTGTTACGGGGGCCAGGATGCTAAAAGCCCACCGGTGGTCTGGGCTTTAGATGTTCTGAAAGGTTGATAAACGACATGTCCTTCAAGCAGTGCTCCATGAATTTGGTTTCTCAGCTTTGGATGACTGTTGAGGCACATGGAGTTGTAGATTTCACTCCCAGATACATACATACCTGGAGTACAGCGCCTCTAGCCATTTGAGTGGGGAGCCATGTACTTCACCATTTTGCACAGCCAGCGATGGGCCTGACATCCTTGAAAATCGAGGCAGGACAAATGAACAGACTTAAGACACATGTGGGTTCAAAGCCTACCTTGCAACTTGCTCTGAGACCTGAGGTATGTTCTTGCACCTCTCTCATCCTCAATTTCGTCATCTTAAAAATGGGACAATAATACCTCATAGGTGTGAGAGGGGAGTTTAAATAAGCATAACACAGGTGAAGTATGAGAGTAGTTGATAAGTTTCAGGAAGTCTTAATACTTCTGTCATTCTTGTGAGCAATACCAGGGAATATCCATGCTCAGAGCCAGATTCTAAAATGGGCTACTAGATCTCCCTAACGTTTCCTCGGATTTCAGCAAATACTGAATTACTGGGAGTATGAAGCAAGTTTAACCCTCAAAACTGACCTCCGGCTGACTTGTTTAGCCTCCTGGTGTCCATGTTCCTCAGCACATGTGAGCCTAGATGGGTCTGTGATACCCTTAGATCTGCCAGTAGATTTTCTGCTTTTTAATAATACATAAACCTGGGGTCCTTGAAGTGAATTAAGGTGGAAATCTTGGATGCCTTGCCCAGTGCCTCTCAGACTGTGAGACTATTTGCTGTCCTGATAGTGGGACCGTGCTTCAGAATAAGCACTCTTACCTTCTTTGTCATTAGCATAGATAACCAAAGTTTTTCTTCCTATCTTACGGTCTCTTTAGCATAGTTTAGATTTGTAGTTACTCTCTTCCCCATTGCTATAATGAATCCCATCTACCCTTTGCCATCCCAAATGATCCTTAATGTAGTATTAAATACAGGCCAAAAAACAATTATTGTTGTTATCTAAAAATTACCACACTATAAGAGCACACTGATTTTCAAAAGAAGATGCCTTCTTCATATGTGAACACTCTAAAAGATATCACCTGACTTGATCATGCTAGCTTTCTGTAGGACCCATGTAACACAAAACTATCAATACCTTTTCCTGCTAATAAATCGAGACAAAGTTCAGGGCCCACATTTGAAGATACAGCTCATGAATATTTTTGTTGTTAGAAGCCATTGAATTCACTCACTGTAACTATTACCATCATGAGAAAGCCAGCTTCGCACCCAGAGTTAACGATTTAATACGCATTTTTCCCCTTACGTTTATACTTCAAGGTGTCGTCAGGAAAAGTTTTGCTCAACCACTTCCTATTTCTGTATATAAAATATATAGAAAGCATGCAGAAGTTAATCAAAAGGTAAGAAATGATTCTGTGGTCTGATAGGTAAAGATGAAGTTCTATTTTATATGGGCTTTTTCTAATTTCTTAAAATTATGAAAAATATTGTTGCTTTTTAGGAATGATTTTACAGATCTTTTTGACATTGTGATTACAAACGCATTGAAGCCTGGTTTCTTCTCCCATTTACCAAGTCAAAGACCTTTCTGGACACTCGGTGAGTTAACATTTTGTTTTTTCCTTATTTAAGATTTGTTCATTCAGGTACTTCATAAGTACCTGTTGGCTGACAATCAGGTGCAAAGTTCTGTGTTAAATACAACCAGGGGTATACAAGTGATACCAAGTCTTCTTCCCCCCTCACAGAAATGCATAAACAAACACTGCTACTTAGCAGGTCAATAAATGCATGGGATGATCATAGGCCATGTTACCTGTTATGACGAATATGCCTGAAAAAAAAAAAAAAAACCAACAGGAAATGCCTGCCTGCTGAGTAAACCAGGAGGGCACTTTAGAGGGGCTGACCAGGGAAGGTCTGTCCAAAAAAGTCAGAAAAGGTGACTTATCAGGCAGGACCTGAGGGACAGATAATGAGAAGAGCAGAGGAGGGGTGGCAGTTCCAGTGATGGAGAAGAGGCCAGCGACTCATGGGAAGAGAGAGGCGGGGAAGTTAGGGAAGCACACAGCCTCATACACTGTGACAACGGGTTTGAATTTTATTCCACAAGCTATGTGAAGCATTCAGTTGAGGTGTATGGGTAATCTGGAGAGCTCTTTGGCTGAGGGTGGTGAATGGATTGAATGTGGGAAGAATAGAAAGAGGAAAACCATGGGGGTGCCTAGGTGGCTCAGTCAGTTAAGTGCCTGACTTAGGCTCAGATCACAATCTCCCAGTTTGAGTTCAAGCCCCTCATTGGGCTCTGTGCTGACAGCTCAGAGCCTGCCTGGAGCCTGCTTCAGATTCTGTGTCTCCCACTCTCTCTGCCCCTCCCCTGTTTGCACTTTGTCTCTCTCTCTCACTCTCAAAAATAGAGAGAGAAAGAAAGAAAGAAAGAAAGAAAGAAAGAAAGAAAGAAAAAAGGAAAGGAAGAAAGGAGGAAGGAAGTGAGGGAGGGAAGGAAGGAAGGTAGGAAGGGAGGGAAGAAGGAAGGAAGGGAGGGAGAGGGGGAGGGAGGGAGGGGGGAGAGAGGGAAGAAGAAACCAGGCACTAAGTGTGTCCCAAGTAAGACACCGTGGTAGTTTGGTCTGAGGAGGTAGTACTGGAGATGGAGAGGAGACATATTTAAGATGCATTGTGGAGATGGACAGTAGGACTTGGTGATGCTTTCAGAAGCAGCAGATGAAAAGATAATCAAAAATGACTTGTTGATTTTTCTTTTTTTTTTTGAATTGAGCAAAGGAGTGAATCCTCATGTAGCCGTGAGGAAGGTTACAGAAGAAAAGTTTGTATGGGGTGGTGTGGTGATTAAGAAATCATGTTTTGACATGCCTACAAATTCTTCAGCGGGGACTAACAATTAGGAAATTGTATGGATGAGCGTGGAGTCCAAGGGGAACAGCTTTAGGGTCAGGGTATAAATTTGGGAGAGTCATTAACTCATAGAAGGATATTTTAAAGCCATGGGCTTATATGTGAGATACAGAGAGAATGACAGAGATAGAAACCAGACTGCAGATAGGTTCTTCTACATAATAGTTTTTAAACAGTTCATCCTTCTGTCTCTCGATACTTTTCAATTAAACAGACATAGTGCAAAAATGCAGTAACTTGTTAGCATAAGTTAATACATTTGTGGTCCCCAGTGTATTAAAAAATTTGGTGTATTTTTAATGTACATTGTTTTCTGTTACTGGTGTGTGTGAAAATTTAATAAAAATCTCTGTAGAACAACATACGTACTATAATAGGTATAGAACAGGTATAGATTTTCTTGGAAGAAAATGCAAAAATCCTGCAGATAAAAATAAACATTGTTGAGTACTTAGTTATGTGTTTAAATATAAATTTATGAAGAGGGGGGAAACATTTAATTTTTGTTTGTTTGTTTAACAGAAAGAGTATTATTTGAATCCCTGATGTTATTTCTTGACAGCAAGGATTTATATGAGACATTAAACCAGTATATAAAAACCACCATCACTTTCTCACTTTCTGCTAGACCAGGGTTTCTTAACTGTTGCACTCCTGAGATTTGGGGCCAGATATTTCTTTGTTAGTGGGAGTGGGGGTGCTGTCCTATATGTTGTAGGCTGCTTAGCAGCATCCTTAGCCTCTAATCATCTTACCTCCCAATTTGTGACAACCAGAAATGTCTCCAGACATTGTCAAATTTGCCCTGACGTCCAAAATTGCCATCATTGAAAACAACTGTACTAGACCATTCTCATGGACATATATGCATATTCTCATATTTTCCGTTTACAAGAACAAAATATGCCCTTGGGGTGCCTGGATGGCTCAGTCAGTTAAGTGTCTGACTCTTGACTTCAGTTCAGGTCATGATCTCAGGGTTCATGAGTTCGAGCCTGGCACAGAGCTCCATGCTGACAGTGCAGAGCCTGCTTGGGATTCTGTCTCTCTCCCTCTCTCTGCCCCTCCTGCGCGCGCGCACACACACACACTCACTCTCTCTCTCTCTCTCTCTCTTCCTCAAAATAAATAAATTTTTTAAAAAAGGTTCTCTAATTCATGATGTTGTATTGTAGTGTTTGTTTTGCTGCTGATTCTGAGTCTTTGCCTACCTGTAACTACTTTTTTTCCACTGCTGGTTTCCCCTCATCTTTCTCTCTCTCTCTTAACAAAATATTTTATTGCAGTAAGATATTCATTGTGCTCAAAATCAATACAAAGTAAGTTATTAAAATTATTTTCTTACAAATGAAACTATGGAGACACCTGGGTGGCTAGTCGGTTAAGGATCTGACTTCGGCTCAGGTCATGATCTCACCGTTCGTGAGTTCGAGCCCTGCGTCGTGCTCTGTGCTGACAGCTCAAAGCCTGGAGCCTCCTTCAGATTCTGTGTCTCCCTCTCTCTCTGCCGCTCCCCCGCTCACACTCTGTCTGTCTCTCTCTCACAAGTAAATAAGCATTAAAAAAAATTTTTTTAAACAAATGAAACTATGTAGTTAATAATAGCTATGAGTAAACAGCAACACAAATGTAGCCTCTAAATCAGTATGTAATCTTCTAAAAATTGCTAACAATACTAAAGGAAAAATTTGTTGACCATCGTTGTTGAATTCACTGATTTCCATTAAACAAAAAAAGTCTTCTATATGTTTAAGACAAATTTATTCCTTTGAAGAGTAACCAGAGAAAAGTCTGATTCAGTCCTATATATGCAGTTCAGTGAACTTTTTGGTTAAATGGCATATTTTCCAAGCTTCACACCTATTTCTCAAACGGAGTTTTCCTTAATGTTAATGTCAAAGCATTCTACATTTCATATTATAAAGTGTCTACATGAGTTTTTAGTCAGTTTGGAACTAATATCCATGGTATCACATTTCTCCTTAAAGGTTAATGTTTGGCAGCATTCTATCTTAGCCTTCCTTTCTTCTCCTGCTGTCTTCAGCTACCGCTCTGACGGTTTCAGCTAGTACCTATATATGAGTGACTCCCAATTCCTTATCTCTGGACCTCACTTTTCCCCCGACTTACAGAGGCATATTTCTATCTGCCTTCTAAATTCTCCACACCCTACAGCCCCAGCATTGCAGGAAACTTGGGATGTGCTTATAACTCATTAACCTCCCCTCCCATCTTGGGATGCTCCTCTTCCCATATTCTGTAATTCCATTATAACTTTTCCAACAGATCTTACCCAAACCAGGAAGATCAGTCATCTTCTGTTACTCTCTCCCCTTCACATCACACCTGCCTTCAGTTTTCTCAGATTGGTCACCTACCATATTCCTGCCACTGCCCTTATCATCCCTTGTATGAACTGATACATTCACATCACTACTGGGTATGACGGTACTTAATAACTGATGTCCCGCCCCCGTCAGCCTTGTAACCCTCAAAACCACCCATCCTCCATATGGCTGTTAATGTTATTGTATCATGCAAGTCATGTCAGCGTGTTCTGGTAACCTCCAGTGTCATGTAAATCAAATCACTGCTCCAAATGGTTAAAAGTAGAAGTAAAATAAGGCAAAGGATGTATCTGGGATGGAAGGCGCTGGGTGAGTGTGTCCTTGCAGCTGTCGCACAGGCCTGACGTCATCCATTGTCATGGGGACAAGAAAGGGGGAGAGTTGCGTCCGAGTTGGCGGCGGGGGCTGAGTGCCTCCTTCTAGGCAAAATATGCAGCATCCTGCCCCATCACTGTGATTCGGCTTTTTGCCAGTGCGAAAGCCTGGGGAGGGGGTGGGGAGGTGTAGAGGAGAGGAGTCCATCTTGCAAGATTGTAACTTCATTGAGGAGAGTGACGATATCTTTTTCACTGCTGTGTCCCCTGTGCTGTCAGCTACCCATCCTCCTGCCCTCAGTTTGAAAACCGTGATTCCCAACTTGCTATCTTTGGTTTCTTGGCCTCACCTGTCACCAGTACACTCTGAAATCTTTCCCTGAGACTTCCCTGGAGCCTCATACCACATTTCCTCCTGCTCACAGCTCTGCTCAGTATTCTGAAATGAGACTTGATATTCTCCTTCCTCCTAGAAAGTGCAACCGTACACGCTGGCCCCTTTATAATCTTTATCTTCATTACTTGACTATCTAGTGAATTGCCCCCCAGCTATAAGCCTCCAGTGTCTTCACCCTTTCACATCCAGCATGTTGTACATCAAGTCCTGTTTAAACTACCTCCTCTCGGGGCGCCTGGGTGGTGCAGTCGGTTAAGTGTCCGACTTCAGCCAGGTCACGATCTCGTGGTCCGTGAGTTCGAGCCCCGCGTCGGGCTCTGGGCTGATGGCTCAGAGCCTGGAGCCTGTTTCCGATTCTGTGTCTCCCTCTCTCTCTGCCCCTCCCCCGTTCATGCTCTGTCTCTCTCTGTCCCAAAAATAAATAAACGTTGAAAAATAAATAAATAAATAAACTACCTCCTCTCTGCTCTCTGTTTCCTTCCCATTAGGCCTTCATTACTCTCTTCCCTGTGAGTCTCTTACCTCATCCTCCTGCCCTTACTTTATATCTCTCCTTTCTTCCATCTCTTGCCTGCTGCCCTCAAATACTTGGCACATATTTTCATTTACATATAAATTTTAAAT